AACCACAATGAGAGACCACTTTTCACCCACTGGAATGGCTGTAACCAAAAAGACAATCACAAGTATCGGCAAGAACCAAGGGACATTAGAACCCTCGTATACTGTTGGTGGGAGTATAAAATGGCACAGCCACTGTGGAAAACAGTTTGGCAGTTCCTCAAAAAGTTAAGCAACGATTCACCATTTGACCTAGCAACTCCACTCCTGGGCATATACCCCCCAAGAAAAACAAAGACGTATGTCTACACGAAACTTGTACACCAATGTTCCCAGCAGCAATATTCATCATATCCAACAAGTGGGAACAACCCAAAGGTCCACCAACTCATGATTATACGATTACAGCAGATCCACACAGTGGAATCGTATTTAGCCATAAAAAGGAATAAAGTACTGGTTTTGTAAGGGAAGCAAAAAAAATGTGCAAAGGACATGAACAATTTGCTCAAGGAGAAAGATAAAATGACCGATAAACACAAGGAACATGCCCAACCTTCCTGGTTATGAAAGAAATTAAGATAAGATAACATCTTTCATCTATCAGATTGGCCAACATTGAAGAGAAAACCCAGTGCTGGCCAGGATGTGGAGCTAAGGACACAGGGGCAATAGTACATGTGCACCTGGCACAGCCTTTCTGAAGGGCGATCGGGCACTGTGCGCCCAAAGCCTTTAGAATGTTCACATATTTTGGTCCAGTAAACCCCCTCTAGGAATGTACTCTACAGCAATATCTGAGCAACTACACAAGTGAAAAAAATAGTCTAGAGCAGTGATGGTGAACCTATGACACGCGTGTCAGAGGTGACACGCGAACTCATTTTTTTGGTTGATTTCTCTTTGTTAAATGGCATTTAAATATATGAAATGAATATCAAAAATATGTCTTTGTTTTACTATGGTTGCAAATATCAAAAAATTTCTATATGTGACACGGCACCGGAGTTAAGTTAGGGTTTTTCAAAATGCTGACACGCCGAGCTCAAAAGGTTCGCCCTCACTGGTCTAGAGCATGATCCCATTTTTTAAAATTAAATGTAAAAAAAAAAAACCTATTTGGATGGATGGATAGAGATAGATAGATTCATGGATACATAGATACGTGGATAATAGATATAGATATATCTGCATGTAAATATACACATGAGTCATCCAGAGAAATAGATCTTGAAGGATACATGCCGAAATGAATTACAGGGTAAGGATAAATTTTTCCTTTTGCTGCCCCCACCTCCTGCTATAGGCCCTTCCGCCACTTTCATGACAGGGTGTGTTCAGGGACACAAGGACAGCCTTTGGTGCCCAAAGGAAGTCCCTGGATTCAGGCCAACTCGTGTCCAGGTCTAACCTTGGCTTGGTGTGTTATAGACTACGGGGCTCTCCTGAATCACCCCCAAATTCCGCTCACTCTGTTATCCGTGCCAACTGGCAGTCAAACAATACTTCAGGTGGATTCTTAGACAATGCCCTTGTATGGGTTCATCAGTTAACCTCACCTAAGAAGCCCCTGCAAAGCATGCACTGGACGCTGGAAATACTAGGCAAGGGGCCCAATTTCCAGGGTACTTGATCTTACTTACGACACAAAGTACCCAGGGTTATTTTACAGATGACCAGTGGCCCAGGGGCATAAAGCACTTCTGGCTGAGAGGTTAAGTCAGCCGTGGGCAAACTACGGCCCACGGGCCGGATCCGGCCCGTTTGAAATGAATAAAACTAAAAAAAAAAAGACCGTACCCTTTTATGTAATGATGTTTACTTTGAATTTATATTAGTTCACACAAACACTCCATCCATGCTTTTGTTCCGGTCCTCCGGTCCAGTTTAAGAACCCATTGTGGCCCTCGAGTCAAAAAGTTTGCCCACCCCTGGGTTAAGTGCATTAGTTCTCTATTGCTGTGTAACGAATTACTCCAAAACTTAGTGACTCAAAACAATTTCTGTGGGTCAGGACTTCCGAAGTGGCTTAGTTGTGTAGTTCCAGCTCAGGATTTCTCAGGTGGTTCCAATAAGGATGTCAGCTAATCCCTTCACCTTCTATCATGCAGTCCCCTCCCTGCCCGCCCCTTCCCCCCCGCCCAACACCTGTCAGTCTGCTCCATGTATCCATCCATGCCTCTGGTTCTATTTTACTCATCATTTTATTTTGTTCATCAGATTCCACATATAAGTGAGATTATATGGTATGATCTCACGTAGCATTAACAATGTTCATGGACATATTTTCTTTTTTTAATATATTTTTACTGATTTCAGAGAGAAAGGGAGAGGGCAAGAGAGACAGAAACATCAATGATGAGAGAGTATCATTGATCAGCTGCCTCCTGCATGCCCCACACTAGGGATTGAGTCCACAACCCGGGCATGTGCCCTGACTAGGAAACAAACTGTGACCTCCTGGTTCATAGGTCAAGGCTTAACCACTTAGCCACACCGGCCTGGCTTCATGGACATACAGTGGGGCCTTGACTTACGAGTTTAATTCGTTCCGAGACCGAGCTCATTAAGGAGCTCGTTAACTCAAATTACTCTATCAACTCAATGCAAAAAATCGGCCGAGAGACAACTGGTATCTCAAAAAACTCATTAGTCGGGACACTCGTAAGTCAAGGCTCCACTGTATTTTAAAACCACCAGCTGAAGATCAGACGGGAATGCCTGAGAGAATGCCAGAAATTCAGGCTTACCCTGGAAGGCAGTGGAGAGCTACTGAGGTTTGGGTACAGTAGATACAGGATGCAGTAGAGTCCAGTGTTCAAGGCCAGGTCTGGGAGTGGCCACCTGCTACTGCCCAGCTGTGGGGCATGAGGCAAGTTACTCAATCTCAGTCCCCTCACCTGGAAACGGGAGGTGTCAACCCTGCCTTTCAGGGCTCACGTGCCGGGCCAAGGCCTGGTGCAGAGCAAGCGCTCAGGAAATAGCAGAAGGAACTATTGGAGAGCTCGCTCTGCAAACGGGCCCTGTCCTGTCGGGGGACCGGCGAGGAGTTTTAGGTTCATTTTTCCTGATTTGGGACACTTGGCTTTTCTTGACATCAGTGGTTTTCCCAGAAACGGGTGTTTAAATTAGTATTAAACTGGGTCTGTGTTTCCCGAATGAAGACGCTCCAGGGGCTGGCACAGCTGGTGAGA